TTATTATTATTATTATTATTAATATTATTATTATTATTATTATTATTATTATTATTATTATTATTATTATTATTATTCTCAACAACAACATAAGCTTTTTCATTATTATCTGCTGAAATCCATAATCTTTCCTGCTTTTAAACCATATTTTTAGTTGATTTTGGTATCTCCTAAGCTTAGTACTTTTGATAAATTGAAATTTATTTTGTTACCCTTTTAGAGTATTTATCTGTATTATAGATATGCTATCTTAAAACTATATAAATATATTATAATCTTTCTTTTTTACATGGACATTATAACATAAAATATGAACCGAATTAATGATAATGTTAAAACTGCCGTAAGAATATTGCAAATAACATATACGACAAAAATTATATAAAAATACAGTTTACCACACTAAAAAATAGAAAGAAGAATCATTTGCAATCAAGGAAAAAGTAACATGGAATATATATATTTTATACTGCTATTACTTTATTGTTATTATTATTTTTTCAATGTTTTATGTTCAATTAAATTAAAAGATTAGGTTTTTCCAACATAGTCAACGACAGAGCCACTGTTATTTTCTTCAAACATTTTTTGGTCAATGTTTTCATAATATGTTATATTATTCATTTTCAGCAAAGTCAAAATCTACAACAGCGACGAAAGTGCCACCGAGCTCCGGAGTGACAACAGGTAGGTAGCTATCACCATCCTCGCGACACATACTCTCAATTCTTACAAGTGCTCTACAACAGGCGTGCCACCAACCACAAATTATCATCATCATCATCATCATCATCATCATCATCATCATCATCATCATCATCATTAAGCCTATCCCCTCAAGTTAGGTCGTGTCGAAACCGCTCTATGTCTACACTCTCTCTTGTCACTAACTCTCCTTAGATCAAGCACTACCGGACACATTCATTGGCCCATTTCTCCGTGCGCCGCTACTCATCAATCAACCTATCCCTTTAAGTTAGGTCGTGTCGAAAACCGCTCTATGTCTACACTCTCCCCTGTCACCAACCCTCCTTAGATCAAGCACTACCGGACACATTCATCGACCCATGATTGGCGCATTTCTTCGTGCGCCGCTACCCATCTTATCAAATCGTCCTCTTACTTCTCTTAATGTGTCCGTACCACCTCAATCTAATTTCTCTTATCTTTTCTCTCAAATTCACAACTTATTTCCTGCCTTATACCTTCGTTTCTGTATTCTATCCTGTATTTTAAACCTAATTGTTTGCAGACATCTCATCTCTGCCACTTCAAACTTCTTTACACTCTTGTTTTTATGCCTGTTTATTTCTATGTATTTATAATTATAATTTGATGCATTATACATAATAAGGCGTACGTACATACACATTCACGTATGAACACAAAACGTACCGTATATATCGTACTGCATATGCTTATTGCAAATGCAAATGCTTATTGCATTATTATGCTTATCTTTATCGTTGTCAATGTATTTATCATTATCATTATTATTATTATTATTATTATTATTATTATTATTATTATTATTTTTATCAACAACAACATCAACATTATCATAAACTTTTTCATTATTATCTGTTGAAATCCATAATCTTTCCTGCTTTTAAACCATACTTTTATTTGATTTTGGTATCTCTTAAGCTTAGTACTCTTGATAAATTGTATGTGTTCTGTATTTTTTTCCCTTTCTTAGTTTCTTTTTAATTTTTATGAAATTATGTATGTAACCTGTATCATGTTAGTCCAGTATTGTGTTAACCGTTGTACGTGGAATTTGTGTGCATTTGAGAGCCCTCCAGATACTTTTTGCTCTTGTTTTTTGTTTGTTTGTTTTAATTTTTTTTTTGTAACCCTGGGAGAGTATTTATCTGTAATATATTTTGATATTCAATTTAAAATTTAAGATTCCTTAATAATTAAACTATATAAATACATTATAATCTTTCTTTTTACATGGACACTATAACAAAAAATGTATAAATTGGTTGTGTAGTAATTTAATGTTTTTTTGTTTTTTTATGTAATAAATCCAGAACTTATCAACTTTATGGCACGCTTTTACTGTGTACTAGGTCATGATGTGCCAAACATACTAATACATTTTCTATTAACTGGTTCCAGTAAATTGCAATAATTTCTAATTGTTTTAGATTTTACCGTCTTCACTACAAATCTGATTATGCAGATGGTTTTTACCGGAACAGCAGTTCTAGTCCTAGTTATTGGATGTATCTGTGTTTTAATGGTTTTCGTAACAAAGCCATCGAATAGAATCAAACCAACTGGAGAATAAGAAGAGTATTCTTATCGTATTTAACTTAAGCGCAGATTATCGTTTCAACGAGCCTAAACAAAGCGAAAATTAAATTGCATTTATATAGATATTTAATAAATATAATGAGTTTAAATCACGATATGTTTCGATGGTTCAACCATCATTATCAAATGAAGGAAACTACTGCTAAACACTAAGCTTATCTATAGCTAGGGAGTCATATGGGAAGACCAATGGGAAAACAGCTGTCTCTTATACACATAATATATATATATATATATATATATATATATATGAATCTAAAAATATATATGAGATGTATAAATAGAGAGATACAGTATATGTAGGAATATATAACCTAACATCTAAACAACACATTTATAATAGCGGCACGAACATATCTATAGTAAAGACGTTTGAATGTCGCCTCGAGCAGCTCTCTGAGATGCAAATGACAGGCTCCTTATGGAGACATAATGAATGTTTGATAAATGTAAACTAAATTGTGTATTTAATCAAAATTATGTAGCATACTATTCAGAATATTTAAATCGCCCTTGTAACGTCATTTGGTATGTATAATTGCGAATATAATTAGTTATCAGAGTAACTTGTTAATACCTTTTAGTAACGTGACGGGTATTGTAATTGTTGGATACCTTTGTGGGACTCTTATTCAAGAGAATAGAGACCATCAGTGTGTGGCGCTTAATATACCTTATTAGAGTGTTAACGTGGTATTGCACATTTTACCTTGGTGTAACGTTAGTATTATTTGATTTTTAACATCGGTTATCTGTTTCTAGTGGTAGAAAAGCACTCGAAAATGAGTACAACAGAAGTGGCGGAAATGTTATAGAGTGATATAGGCCTACATAGGGAAGGTATCATCATAGTAATTGATATAACTTGTAGCATCCCACCTTTTCTGTACAAGTACACTGTAGTAGCTCTGATGATATCGCATAATAGAGTCATGAGGTGACGCCTGCTGAAAGTTATGATGTAGTCATGAGTACTTATAAGGCACTATCTTACTTTGCATTTTTGAATAACAAATCCATCGTTAATGAATGTTAATTAGCATAAAACGAATAAGTATGCATGTACTTCGAATTGGTTGGTATAAACGATTTCTAAATTCACGTTTAAATGTTTTGTGATTTTTGATGTGCAACAGAATAAACAAAATAAAAAAGTCGTCAGTATTAACGTTTTTTTGTAAGGAAAATCAATAATTATATTGCTAATGCTACTGATGATTATGATAAAATTTATAATGATGATGATGACGATGATGACGATGGTGGCGGTGGCGATGATAATGATGATGATGATGATAATAATCATTATGGTGACGGCGGTGGTGTGATAATGATAATGATGATGATAATGAAGATAGTGATGGTGATAATGAAAATGTTTAATAATAATAATGATAATAAAAACATAGATAATAATTAATAATAATGATCATGATTATTATTACCATTGTCATTTTTATTCTCATTCATCATTATCATTTAATCATCACCATCACCATTAATATTAAGCATAAAATTGATAACAATTAATAAATTCATAATATTTTTAAATAAAGTTTATTTTATTAATTTTGTTTCTATTTCACATGGAAAGAAAGTGGAATATTTTACAAATATATAATTACAATAACTTTTTTGTTAATTTTATTGCTACCCAACATGTTTTAGTTTAGCTCCTGTTAACCCTGGTGTCCCACACTAGCAAAGTGAGTTGGATGTAGAGTCGATTTACACTGTAATTTGTGTGCAGTGGTGGCGCAAGCGGCCGGGTACCGTGTTAATTGGGAGTTTTCGCTGCACGACGTTAACCCGTTAACAGATGACTTCATAATTTATTCATCTTGCGTTGCGGAATACGGAGTAATTTCAGGATTTTACGTGCTCGACGGACGTTAGTTACGGGTTTGCGCATACGTATTTCGATTTGTTTACAAAAGGGGCGGAGTTATCGCGTTGCAAGTTGGGTAATAACGTTAAAGTTAAGGTTAACGTCATGCGGCGAAAACTACCTAGTAAGGCCTGGCCTCGCCGTCAGGAAGTCACTTTAAAATCTATCGGAGAAAAATGAAACATGGTGAAGATGAGGTAGGTGTGGATTCTGGCTCACCTTTGAGAAAAAAGCTAGCCACCCCTGCTTTTTTTGACAGAATTCGAATTAAGAATACTGGGATTTCCACCACCAAGTACAACACAAATTATAAGCACTACACAACCTGGTTCAGACTAGTAAACTTTCATAGATGGGGTTAATACCGTCTCTGCCCGATATAGTTGGGGCTGAGATATACAATTTATGGTTATGGCACTCTCGGACTTAAATTATAATAATTTATAATTTTTCTTCTTTCTCAATTTTTCGAAATAATTTTGACAAATTTAGGGGTGGTACTGCGGCTGGGGCTTGCATCAGCCACTGTGAAATATAGTCGAGATTTGCGTGACCACATGATACACCTGTCTCTTATACACATCTAGATGTGTATAAGAGACAGATATAACCTAACATCTAAACAACACATTTATAATAGCGGCACAAACATATCTATACTGTAGTAAAGAAAAACGTTTGAATGTCACCTCGTGCAGCTCTCTGAGATGCAAATGACAGGCTCCTTATGGAGACATAATGAATGTTAGATAAATGTAAACTAAATTGTGTATTTAATCACAATTATGTAGCATACTATTCAGAATATTTAAGTCGCCCTCGTGACGTCATTTTGTATGTATAATTGCGAATATAATTAGTTATCAGAATACCTTGTTAATACCTTTTTGTAACGTGACGGGTATTTTAGTTGTTGGATACCTTTGTGGGACTCTTATTCAAGAGAATAGAGACCATCAGTGTGTGGCGCTTAATATATCTTATTAGAGTGTTAACGTGGTATTGCACATTTTGCCTTGGTGTAACGTTAGTATTATTTATTTTTAACATCGGTTATCTGTTTCTAGTGGTAGAAAAGTACTCGAGAATGAGTACAACAGAAGGGGCGGAAATGGTATAGAGTGATATAGGCCTACATAGGTAAGGTATCATCATAGTAATGGATATAACTTGTAGCATCCCACCTTTTCAGTACAAGTACACTGTAGTAGCTCTGATGATATCGCATAATAGAGTCATGAGGTGACGCCTGCTGAAAGTTATGATGTATTCATAAGTAATCTTATTACGTAAACTTATAAGGCACTATCTTACTTTGCATTTTTGAATAAACATACCCATCGTTAATGAATGTTAATTAGAATAAAATGAATAAGTATGCATGTACTTCGAATTGGTTGGTATAAACGATTTCTAAATTCACGCTTAAATGTCTTGTGATTTTTATGTGCAACAGAATAAACGAAATAAAAAAGTCGTCAGTATTAACGTTTTTTGTAAGGAAAATCAATAATTATATTGCTAATGCTGCTGATGATTATGATAAAGTTGATAATGATGATGATGACGATGATGACGATGGTGGCGGTGGTGATGATAATGATGATGATGATAATAATAATCATTATGGTGACGGCGGTGGTGTGATAATGATGATGATAGTCAAGATAGTGATGGTGATAATGAAAATGTTTAATAATAACGTTAATAACAACATA